GCTCAGCCCCCAACCCAGACACCGCTCAGCCCCCCAGACACCGCTCTGCCCCCCTAGTCCCCAGCCACCACCTAGACCAGACACCGCTCTGCCCCCCCAGCCCAGACACCGCTCAGCCCCTGTCCCCCAGCCGTGACACTGCTCTGCCCCACCCAGACACCGCTCAGACCCTGCCCCCCCAGCCCAGACCCACTCAGCCTGATGCTGCCCCCCAACACTGCTCAGCCCCCCCCAGCCCTGACACCGCTCAACCCCCCCCAGATCAGCCATCAGCCAGCCCCCCGAGCCCCACCCAGCGCCGGTACCCAGGGGCGTGAGCTCTCTGAACGTGGGCCCTGTGCCCGGCTCGCAGGGCCTGCAGTCCAGACCTGCCCAGACAGGGCTCATAGCAATAAAATCTGCAGCCCCACCCTGCAGCTGGGCATCCCTGCCCCGCTCAGCTCTGACAGGCTCTGTGGTGGCCCAGTGGGCCGGTCACCCCCACCCAGGGTGGCCCAGGCTGCAGCCCAGGGAGCACCACTCACCAACTCCATACTTCTCCTTCTTGGTGGGCAGCCAGGGGGCCATTGCAGCCAGCCCAGCCCAGCCCAGCCCAGCCCAGCGATGCGACCGTCCCCGCGCGGTGTGGCAGCCAGTTCCTCCCGCTGAGCTGCCAGGGTCACGTGCGTCTCACCGGCTTGTGCAAACCTTCCTGGGCCACTTCCTCTAAGCAAAGCTGGGCTCTGCACAGAGCCTGCAACCGGCCCCTTCTCCCCAGCCAGATCCGAGTGCGCCCGATGCAGAGACCCAAGGGCTGCGGGACACCAGCGAGAGACGCCCCCAGCCCCAAGTGCCAACGGAGCAGCCTGCTCCTGCATCGAGTGCAACAGGGCACCTAGGGGCTCACACTGGGGCCTTTCCCTGCTAGGCCAACAGAGCCAGCCCGGCACAGGGAGTGGGAGCCCCACGGAGCCAGCCCGGCACGGGGAGCGGGAGCTGGGCTCTGGTCCCGGGGCCCCACGGAGCCAGCCCGGCACGGGGAGCGGGAGCTGGGCTCTGGTCCCGGGGCCCCACGGAGCCAGCCCGGCACGGGGAGCGGGAGCTGGGCTCTGGTCCCGGGGCCCCACGGAGCCAGCCCGGCACGGGGAGCGGGAGCTGGGCTCTGGTCCCGGGGCCCCACGGAGCCAGCCCGGCACGGGCTGCTGAAGTTCCCTGTGCTCCCTGGAGCGTCGCTCGCTCTGGGGCTGATGCATGAGGATGCCCCCAGTGATTTCAGGCCCGACAGAGTTTGCGGCGCCGGCGCTGGCATGGCTGCTCCTCTGCGGCTGGGGGGAGCTGAGCCAGGCCCTGGGCCGTCCGCAGGCCCCTCAGCCCCTGCTGCCCTGCACACCCGTCCCACAGCTCCGCCTGCTCCTCTCACAGCCAGCCAGGCAGAGGGGCCTGTTTGGAGAGCGGCATGGGGGGAGGGTTTCCTGGTGCTGGCAAGGGGTCCCTTGTGCTCAGAGCCTCCCGATGCCAACAGGCCTCGGGCAGCAGTGCTGGATGGGCAGTGCAGCAGCTCCCATGCGGGGGCTCATGCTCTGCCGTATGGGGCTGGGCACGCTCGCCGCCTGGTCCCAGCAGGGCTCTGACCCCTGGTGCCTGAGGGTCCCTCCCCATGGGCACCTGGGAAGGGGTCCTGCCTCCGTCTGATGCTGTTACTAGCCATTGCCATTCTACCCAGTGGGTTCCTCCTCAATCCCACAATGCCCTGGGCCACCCCTCAGCAGCTGGTGGGAGATCCGGTATGGGAGGAGTGGAATGGGTCACAAGGGGAATGGAACTGTGTGATTCTGAAACCCCCATTCCCTGCCCTGCTCAACCAGCCAGGGGCTGGCACCCCCTGAGGAGGAAAGGGCCCAGGGCCCATTCCCACCCCCTGGGCCAGCCAATCCCCTGCCCTCTGGCCTAGGGTAATAGGAATCACTTGTGAGCTTAAGTCATTGTAGGGATTGTTCTGTGAGCGCATGTGCACAAGGGTAAGTGGGGGGTGCTGTATTAATGCAGAGGAATAAAGGGGCCCATAGTGTCAAAGGTGTTCACATGGCCCCGGCACTGTCCAGCATTAAACAACGTTAAACAAGGTTTGGGGTTCAGTCTACACCGGCCTCAGCCTGCTTAGTCCATGGCAAACATGCCATTAAACAGCCTTTTAACCTTTAATGAAAGATACACAAAAGAAGCAAAAATAATCAAAGTTTTTGAAATATAAAGTCTCGAGTAAGACTTTCATTTTAATC